ACATCTTCTGTTGTTGGCTTAATTGATGGAAGCTTTGAAATTGGTAATTTTTATTTCTATTTTCATTATTACTTGGTAACCAGATTTACAGAGGTGAAAACTGTGCATACATGCTTTATACCACTGGTTCTCAACCAGGGTAAATTTTCTCCCAGCGGCAGTCTGGCAATACGGAGACACTTTTGGTTGCTGTAACTGAGGGTAAAGGGGTTGCTACTGGTATCTAGTGGTAGATGCCAGAGACGCTGCTAAACATCCTACAATGCACAGGAGAGTCACCACGACAAAGAATTTTCCAGCCTAGAAAGTCAATAGTGCAGAGGTTGAAAACCCCTAATTTACACAAACTCTTTGTTTGCAAACTAATACTTGGCAGGGATTTACCTGTCCTCTCTCAAGATGCCCTAGTGCAAAAAAAGGTTGGAGAGAGGATTATGATTCTTATTCTTTTTTTTATATTTCTGGCTCCTAACACCATGGCAGGTACTTAATAGGAATTTAAAGAATGCTAGGAGTGAGTGAATAAATGCATGATGAATACCTTCCCCTCAGGTCAGGAAGATTTTCTTCATTCCAATACAATCCAGTCAACTCCAAATTCTTCAATAAAATTTTGCTTCACTGATATTGACAAATAATTCAAGTGCTTTCTTTCATATCTAAAACCTATTCTACTTATTAATACCATACAACTTTACAGTGAGTGGTTTAATGTAAGTGAGTCTCACCTTCTCAATTAAGTTACATGATCTTTGAGGGAAGGCACCGTGTCTTATGCTCTATTTGTATCCATTCTGAGGCCTTTCATTCTACTGGAGACAAAATTGGACTCAGTCAATGTCTGCTAAAATGAATCACATTAAGATAATTTTGTTCTCCTTCTAGGAAATTTGTTTGTGATTGTATTTGTGAGTTACTTCGGATCCAAACTACACAGACCAAAGATAATTGGAATTGGTTGCATCATTATGGGAACTGGAAGTATTTTGACTGCTTTACCACATTTCTTCATGGGATAGTAAGTGTTTCTTTTGTGCCATTAATTACCATTTACTTGTAAATTAACGGTAGAATTTCATTTTTTTCCTTTTACATAAGCAGACACCTTTTGAGAAGAACACCCACTGAGTAGGTGTAGAAATGGAGTATACTTTCTGTGTAATAATTAACTTATTGCTTTATCCACCATGGATTTCATTGACTTTGAAATATGAATAGCACTAAATAAGGTGTACAGTTTCATAGGAAATAAATAAGCTCTTTATGACTGTCTAGTATAACATATATATATTGTGTCTTTGCCTACAAGATTTTGATTATATTCAATAAGATTTCACCACCCAAACCACTGTACTATGGGTTTTTCCACTACCATTTCCACTGAGACTGTTCTTCTCAAGGTCACTGTGTAGTTCTGATTAGAGGCAGATACTAATGACAGAAAATCTAAAATAGCGATGGCATAAATAAGATAGAAGCTTATTTTTCACATAAAAAGTCAGTGTAGTCAGCCCAGGGATGATAAGTTTCTGCTTCTTTTTATCATGTTGCCCTGCCTTGCATGGCCTCGACCTCATGGTCCAAATAGTGGCAATGTTGTTCCAGGAAACAGGATAGAAGAAGGGAAGAAGATCAACAAGAAGAAACAGAGTGCACACAGGCTGGGGCTTAAGAAATGTCTTCAGAAGCATAACGCTTCTACTAACTTCACATTGGTCAGAACTTTGTTACATCTCACATCTACATATAAAGACCTCAGAAAAAATAGACTTTATTCCACGAAGCCATGCTCCTAGCTAAAAATCCCAGCTTCTATTACAATGGAAGGAGAGAAGAATGGATCTTGATAAACAACGAGCAATTTCTGCTAAAGACATTCATTACTTACTCATTGCCAAAGTCAACATTCATGTCTTTTGTTTTCCATTTCAATTTCTTTTTTTTTTTCTCTATAGTATTTGACCCTGATAAATACTTTCTTCTTCCTAGTACTGCTCCTTCTTATTTTCATTGTATTATTCTCTCTTAATTGATTTCCTATCTTTGTGGCTTCTTGCTTATGCCCATTCTTTTCTTCAGCTGCTCACACCATAATGTGAATATCTCCTAAGCTCTCTCTTCAATCTTATTCGCTTTTCATTCTAGATGATTTGTATGGAGTGTATGCAGCATTAAATGCAACTGTCACCTATACATGGGGACTTAACCTTACACTCGAAACCTATATAATCATCCGTCTCATGGTTATCTTCAACCGAACAACCTACAAGTATTTCACATCCATATGTTCAAAACTGTATTCATCCATATGCCAAAACCAGCTCAGACTTTTCACATTCACTATTTCAATAATGATTCATTTAGCCACAAAGGAAGTCAAACCAAAGTCAAGGGCCTCATCCCAGACTTTTTCTTTATTTCCAAACAGATGTCATCAAATCTTGCATATTCTACCTCCTGTCTGTCAATTCCTATGTACCTCCTTTCATCTCCACTGTCCCTAACCTAGTTGAGGATTTCCTCTTCTCTGGCCTGGACTTTTGCCTCCAGTCTCAACTCCATTCTAACTCAGATTCTATACTCGAGTATTCTAATTATGTTACTCCAGCTTAAAATTCCCGATTTCCTAGAGCAATGTTTTTCAAACTTCAGATTCTGAACCGCTAGTGGACCAGTAAATCAATTCAGATTTTTAAGACCAACAATTTTTTAATAGGATAGAATAGAATAAAATAGAAGAAGAATAAACAATATAGGTGGGAACAAATACTATTCTGTGGAACTTTAGTTTGGGTTGTACATATATTTGTGAGCGTGTGTGTGTCCATATGTATGTATTGTGGTTGTGAGGCAAAATGTATTTCTTACTGCTGGTCACAGTCAAAAATATTGAATGTCTCTCACCTGTAGGTTAATTTCTAAACTTTTTACATATGCATGTTGCTCATTGTGCATTTGGTCCTTGACTATCTTCCTAGCTTCATCTTACACTGCTCCTCATGGTTGAGGACCACACTCTGGGGCCGTCAGTTTTCCAAATGTGCCATAATATGTCACACCGTTACATATGGTGTTTCTACAACCTTGAATAGTTTTCCTCCTTTGTCTACCTATTACACTCCTATCCATCTTCGAGATTCATCTCACATGTCATCCTCATTGTGAAGTCCTCTCTAATTCACCCCTCCCCCACCTCCAAGGAAAGCTGACTATCCTCTTTTTCTTTATGCCAACTCAGGACCTTGTATATTAAGCTTATCATTTATTTTTTCATATATGTTTATCTTAGAGAGTGTAAAATGTCCCAAGTATGAAAACTGTGTGTTTTATTTCTAGTTCTTTGGAGCTGAGCATAATGCCTTGCCCACAGCAGGCTGCCCTTGGAGCTCACTGGTATCTCAGTATTTTGGGACATCAGTGTTTGTCCCTATTCCTGCTCCATCTCTGTTATTCTTATTAAGTTGTTCCTCATGAAATTGAAATGAATTAGAATTTGTTTTAACTAAGTTATGAAGAGTCAGGCATATGAAAGTGTGCGTGTGTGGTGGAGGTGGGGGGTATGTGTAGCCATAAAAGAAAATCAGACCGGTTATTGATAGAAAATGTAGATAAATAGGTGTGCACTCCAGACTGATTTGGAATACACTGCTCTGAAGTTTACTAAATGTTATCAGAAGGTTAACAGAAAGTTTAGATTGTGACCATCTTCGAAGATAATTCAGAGGGATGCATAGATACGGTTAGCAGTTTTTTTAACAAAAGCGTGAAACCAAGATAGTATTTCACAGCTTGACCAAAATATAAACATTCCTAGGATGATAGCAACATGATAATCCACCCTGCCTGGTAGTATTGAATGACATTCTTAGTGGGTACTCACATTTTATTTTCACCCATCACTTTTCCTAAAATACAGGCTGGGAAATTGACAAAGAGGATTCTGGAAATTTGGAGAAGAGAATGCTGCAAATAAAGAGGAAAATTCCCCTGGATTTCTGGGAAAAGTGAAAATATTCAGTAGATAACCAAAATTTTAAATCTAGTGATGTTCTTATAGTTACAGATATTCGAAAGAGACTCTTATTAATCCATCAGAGAATTCAACATCAAGCTTATCAACCTGTTTAATTAATCAAAATTTGTTACTCAATACAACATCACCTGAGATAGCAGAAAAAGGTAAGAATTGATAGTCACTAAAAAATATTCTAAAACATTACTTTAACTACATCTGTCAAAAATAATTATGATTTTCACTAGCAAATTGATTAAAAAAACAAACAGAAAAAACATTTGCATCTTATGTATGTAAGACAAAACAATGTTAATACATATTAAGAACTTTTAGAAGTAATAATAAAAGAGGATATTCCAGTAGGAAATTGGCAAGGAATATATGCATTTAAAATAAAGAAGAGAGAAGTGGCACAGTTATGTAAAAAATGTAATGTTACTTTTTATGAAAAATGAAAATTATTATACCAATTAAAGATCTTTTTACCTATTATTACACAAATCATGAATTATAATTACAAATTATATTACTAATTAAGAATTTTTCTACCTATTATATAGAAAAGGTTAAAAAAGAAATGAGATAGAGGAAAAAGACACCTTTGATGTATTGATGGGAGTATATAAATTTCTAACTCTTTTTGGAGATTAATTTTCAGTAAAGAATAAAAAACATGCATATACACTTAAATCAACAATTCTACTTTTACTGATTTATCTTAAGAAGATAATTAGGAATGTGCACAAAGGTTTATTGATGATCATAGCCATGGCATCCCTGTTTAACAGAATAAAAAATTAAAAATATTTTCTGAGTGAAAAGGAAGAGATTGATTAAATAAATTATGAAACTTTTATTCAGCCCACTCCTATGTAGTGATATAAATCTTAATAACATGTGGAAATTGTCATGCTATGATGTTAAGTGTAAAAGTAAATTATAATATGAACTTGACATTTACGTATATAATGTATGTAAAGAATATTATTCATATTTTTATGTGAACTAAAAAAGTGAAGATATATACAAACATTCGAAGTGGGTTTTTTTGGTGTGAGGTGGCATTATAGATAATTTTTGCTTGTTTTCTTTGTGCTTTCCTATATTTTCAAATTTTGTAAAGTGAATATAAACTGTTCTTATAATTAGAAAAAAGCAAAATTCTTAAGTGGAATAATTAAAAAGTTAAAGTAGTTGAGTTTCTAATAGGAATGTTAAAATTAATGTTTAAAATAAAACAGTATCGTGTCTACATAGGTCCTGGAAAGGAATCTGGGTCATATGCATGGGTATATGTCCTAATGGGCAATATGCTTCGTGGAATTGGGGAAACTCCCATAGGACCCTTGGGGATTTCTTACCTGGATGATTTTGCAGAAGAAGGACATTCTTCTGTTTATTTAGGTAACGTACAGAAAATGCTAGATTATATGATTACTTTCTCTGGCTCAACCCTTGAAATAATAGTATTCCTAAATTCATTCCTTTACTTATTAAAAAAATTATTTGGAAATGTATTATGTAACGTTACTTTAAAAAACATATTGAATAGGAGTCGTGTATTTTTGGCATCTGATAAAATTGTTTTATAATATTCTCAGGTAGTCTGAATGCAATAGCAATGATTGGTCCGGTGACTGGCTTCATCCTGGGATCTCAGTTTGCTAAACTGTGGGTGGATGTTGGATATGTAGACCTGAGTAAGTACAATCAGAACAAGGTGACATGATAAGGCTTTCAAGTACAGAACACCATTCTTCCAAATAATTGAATTTACTCTTTCAAAAGTCCTTTGCTATTTGTCAAAAGTTACAAATAGGAAATAAACGTATTAATAATCAGAATAAAAACAACTACACCAGGCTTTTACAACTAGGCATGAAATAAGAAAATTTTAACAAACTTGCTTTAGATTACTTCATTGAAAACAATGGCAAACTAATTGCAGGCCTCTCAGTGTGCCCTGTAATATCACTTCTCTGTGTTTACCCTTGGAAAACTTTCTTTCCCTTTTTTATTTGCATAGTTCTTAAAGTGTCTTCCAAAATGTGGCTCCTCTTCAGAGAAGCCTTAATTTACCAACCCCTATTGGCGCAAAGTGCCCCTATTAATCACCAAGAGCAAGCCTTTATTGTAGCCCTTATCATACTGAGCTGTAAATATTTGTGCACTTACTTGCCATCTCCTTTGGAACATAACAGGATCGTATCTGTCTTAACATCTAATACATAATTAGTATTTCTGAATAAACAAATCTGATTTTCTATCTCACTAGGACTTCAATAGATCTCCAAGGAGATCAAAGGATTCATTTATGAAAGGGAGTGGACACCACAGTAGGCCACAAACTTGAAAGTGTTTTATAATATAAAGCTAAAGCAAGTACCTGATGAAATGTTTTATATCTTCTATTTCGGACATGTGAATTAGTGAAGGTCCACATTCTGTACATTTCTACTCATTCACCTCCAGGTTCATCCTTGTTTTTATCACTAGAAGTACAGAAATAAATGGTTAAAGTCTTTAGGATGATAGTTTTATAACCTTTTTTCTATAGTCACAAGTCACTACTCATGGTATTTTAGAATTCTGGGTGATTTACATCCCTACCACTGAATGTTTAGACCTTATTACACCCTCTTTTCTTCAGTCATGAGCAGGACGTAAACATATTACCAGGTACACTTCGGCAAACTCCAGTGCCTGGAGGAGCCAAGGAGATAACTTAAGTGAGTACGGAGCATTGAATGTGGTGGTTACACTGGAAAGAACTGGTGGTGCTGAACTGCCCTCTCCACACACTCAAAAGCACATGTACTACTCAGCCTCAACCTGTTCTTTTCATGCAGAAATGTGGGTCCAGCCTTGATAAGATCTTCTGGTTGGTTTCCAAGAAAATCCAGAAATCCAGATTTTTATGTAGAATTTTCTAATTTTTGAGATAGCGTGTGAGCCAAGGAAAACACTTTGGCATGCCATGTCTAGCTAGGTTATGACCTCTAGTTCCTATGTGAGGACCAGTGATAAAACAGGAAGCAAGTTATCAAAATGATGCTGTTGACAGTGAAGAAACATTTAGCACTTAGATGGAATCACTGATTTCACCAATCATTTCTTGAAGTCTGTCTGAGTTGCTGATTATAGAACAGTATGATCATGTAAATCAATTTTAAACCTAGATCTGTACATACTTGAAAATCACTTCAATAAATAGAATGAATAACTTGTTTCTATATAGTTTTAAATCAAGTCAATATTTTCTCATGTTAATGAGTTTTCTTATAGACCAAGGAGTAATGGCACCATTATCGTGCTTCAAACTTCTATGCTGTGTATGTGTGTTGTGCTTTCTTATTTTCTTAGAATGTTTATTTTATACTTGCTGAAATAGCTCATTTATACTTGTTTAGATATAGTATTTACATATCACTCATGCATGCTTTAAAGAAAAACATAACTGTAATAAAATGGTTAAATTATTGCTAAAATTTAGAGTCCAACTCTTCTAGGTCACTTTTTTTGTTGTTGTTGTTGATAAAGATTAGCCCTGAGCTAACACCTGTTGCCAGTCCTCCTCTTTCTGCTGAGAAAGATTAGCCCTGAGCTAACATCCATGCCTATCTTCCTCTACTTTACATTGGACACCACCACAGCATGGCTTCATAAGCAGTGTGTAGGTCCAGGGCCAGGATCCAAACCAGCAAACGCCAGGACGCCAAAGCGGAGCGTGCGAACCTGACCACTGCGACATCGGGCCGACCTAGGTCACTTTTAAACTCAGATTTTCGTTGTGTGTGTATCTTCACCAATATCATCCTCTGTGCTGTCAGAGTTAGATGTGCAAGTTTCTGGAAAAAAAACAGAAGTCTCACTATTGGCTCTGAGAATTTCGTGCAAACTGCCTTAAATTTCACTGCTGGTGCTTTCCTGACCTCGGCAAATGCTGCCAATAGAAGTTTTCAGACAATAATGAGGATTCATACGACTTCCATTCTTGGTCCTTAATAGTTTGCAAGGTTAAATTGTCAATAATGGCAGCTGTCCAGTCATGTCACTAGAAAAGCCACCAACTTCACACAGGCTCAGCAGTGACAACAATGTCATGACTGATTCTTGGACAACAGTAATTGTCAGATGTCGTTAAATGCTAGACATCCTGATTTCAGAGGTGACAAAGTGTGAAAAAAAGAAAATAGTGTCTTAGAATTGATGAAATATAGTTTACTTTCTTCATCTGTGGAGGATGGCAATCATTGCCATTATTGCCCAGGATTTATTGCATTCCAAAATGATTTTTGACTAGCTTCTTCTAATTCTTTCTTCTAGGCCGTATCAGAATAACTCCTAAGGACTCTCGCTGGGTTGGTGCTTGGTGGCTCGGTTTCCTTGTGGCTGGACTATTATCCATTATTTCTTCCATACCATTCTTTTTCTTGCCCAAAAGTCTGGATAAACCACAGAAAGAAAGGAAAATTTCAGTATGTACGCGTATGCTTAAAACAAATGAGGAAAGAAGACAAATGGCTAATTTGACCAACCCTGGGCAAAAAATTACTGGAAATATAACTGGTAAGTATTTCACATTGATAGTCAATTTGGAATTGTTAATCCCAGTAAAAGGGAGGAGTGAGTATTCCAAACTAATAAGTCATACCCAACCAACTGCAGTTAGCTTTCTCCTGCACTAAATTTAGCTGAATTATTTTTCTAAGATTTCTATTAAAATTAGTAAATATTTTCTGAACACATACCAACTCTCTGAAGAGAGGATGATTAGGTTTGTGGTCTTTAGCCGGGAGAAACAAAAGGCTAAAAATATATGTTACTCATAAACCAAAGAGCATATATTCATTTTAAAATTATACAGTGTAAATTATGAGAGTTAAAAGGACTGTAATATTTCATTCGTTCATTCATTTACTCGTTCATTCACAAATAGTACCAGGCCCTATAATATGCTCTGGTAATAGAATATTCCCTCTATTTTTCAAGAATTTACAACCCAGTGGGTTGTACCAAGAAATATATAGACAATTTCAATACAGTGTTTAAGTACTATGGTAAAGTTAATATAAGGAATTATGAATGCCTATAATTTGGGCAACTTCACTCTTTTTAGGTGGAGAGAAGGAGTAAGGAGAAGGAAGTCAGAGGAAGTTTCTCTCTAGATAATTGGCGTAAGATTATTTTCTTGGTAATTATATAGAAAAAATTTTGCTTGCCTAAATATTTAAACGTGAAATAGAAGCAACAGTGGTAGTCAAGATTATCAGTCAATCATGTGAATAGGGATCCTCCCATTTGATAGTGCCTCCCCTTTCACACGTCAGCCCTGAGGGCCAGTCAAGACCAGTCTAGGAGCAATAACCTGGAGAAGGATCCAGCAGCAGCCAGAGCAAGACAGCGGAAGCCATGAGGTGTTAACAGCGCCGTTTTCAGATTGCGCAGAGATGGTGGGGGAGTAAAAGTCAAAGCAGAGCAATGCCGAAACCCTTGGCGACATTTGCAAGTTGAAGTTGAAGTGACAGCACAGTTTCAGTTCTTCCACTCATTCATTTCATCGTTACTTTCTCCTCCCCCTCGCTCTACTCTAAAAGCAAGGATGTGCTGGAGCAAGCTTGAGTTGGCTCATGAGAGAGGACTGTTCAATCTTCAGCTACCCTGGTCGCTTGAAATTGGCCATGGTGGGAGAATTGACTACCATTTATTACCACAGAAATTGGGAAATACTACAAATCAGGCCCTGTTTCCCCAAGAGTCAGTTGTTAAACATTTACCAGAGCGTCACTGACTTACAAGTTTTTGAAATTCAAAATAGCATACCAAGCATACACTAAAACTAACATACCAAGAATTTTCATTTGGTCTATGCTACTTTTCCGCTGTACCAAATTAAATCCATAAAAAGGAATGGATTGTCTAAACCCATAAAGAACATGGTTGACTGTGAGGCGGAAAAGAATGGAGAGAATAATGAAGACGCAAAAACAGGACAATTGTAAGCCTCATTTATATTATCAACTGTATTTGTAGAATAACGACCAGAATAGTAAAGAGGTCCTTAATTATATGCTATTAGGAATGGATGAAATAACTAAGAACATTTAGTTAGAAAAAAGACAATATTGGATTTGCTCTATAAGTTCTTGAGTAGAAATAAGACTAACTGATTTGAAAGAAATAAAAATTTCAGTTCATTACAAAAACAATTGGTAAACAATGAGAATTGTCCAAAAATGAAGCAAATTTCTTTCTGAGTTAGTCAGCTTAATGTCACTTGAGTTGTTCTTTGATCCAATTATAGGATCCACGATGCGTCCGATAGTGGATCATGATTGTGTGGAAGTTCAGACTAGATAACATCCAAGTTCCCACCCACCTCAAAAATTCAATGATTTGGTGAACCCATATGCTCCATTTCCTTTAATCAGATCTCACAACTCACTTAAAATGCCTCACAAGACAGTGGTCCTTCCTCATTAGGAAGTCCCCTGGGGAGAAGTTGGGCGTTTTGGTCAAACGATTTTAAATGTTATTTATTCCTGCTATAAATTTCCTTACCTCTTCTTTTTATCTCTTCTATGCCCTTTGCCCTAACTCTCTTTTATTCTTATTATAACTCTCTTTTCTTCTTATTATAAGCAGATGAAACTGTTTCTTAGTTGCCACTGGATAGAGGGCTTAGTTCTGACCATATCTAATTGAAATGTTGAGAGATCTATAGAGCCAGATCTTTCCAAGTCCATACCATTCATCTTTTAATAACCATATCTGGTTCTGTCTTGCTAGACTCTGATACTTCCTACTGTTTTTCTAAGTAGTTCCTTTCACTTTTAGCTCTGATTAGAGTTTATTGACCTGCTGATCACACACCCAGATCACATAATTCTTGTCATAGACAGAAGTTACGAATTTGTTACACACCTATTTGTAGGCACAGGTTCTTGTACTATTATTGTGATAATGTCACTTGAGACACAACATCATTATCCTCTGCCTCTCCTTGCACCTTAAGAAGGGTAATTTCTAACTGACAGATTTACTGAGACTGTATTTTATGGTAGAAAAAGCTGTATACCAGGTACCAGGAAACAAGAGATCTGAACCCTGGTACTAAATTGATCTTTATGATTTTTCAACCTTAGTCTTCTTATTTCTGTGAGCTTTGGATTATGCTATCTTAATGGCAAATTTTTACTTAATAATTATATTATTAATATAATTATATTATTATTAAGTACTAACAAGTAAGAGACATTACATGTCTTAATCAATTTTGTTTCTTGAACACCTAACATATTGCCTGGTACCCAATGGAAAACCAAATATTTGTTGAATGAATGATTAAGTGAATTAATGATGTATGCAATTGTACAGTAGAGTGCTAATAACCAAATATGAAGTGAACAAACCAAGCTGCAAAACAGTATGTGTGTATGATCCCATTTTGGGGTAAAATGAACTAACTAATTAAATGTGGTATTAATAATATCCATTCTTTTCAGGCTCACAGTCAACCATGCTCCTTATGGGTTTAGACAATCCACTCCTTTTTATGGATTTAGTTTGGTACAGTGGAAACATATGGAATAAATGGAAGGAATATACAAAAAACTGTGGAGAGTAGGATTGCAGGGTCCTGTGACTTTCTGTGTTAAGAGTTTACGTAATTTCAAATCTTATGTAACTTATTTTTATAAGATTAAAATAGTAATAGATGTTTAAGCTGCATTATAATATTTTCTTTATTTTTATGTTTATTATAGGTTTCATCGAGTCCTTGAAAAGCATCCTTACCAATCCCCTATATGTTATAGTATTGGTTTTGATGTGGCTACAAATCAGCAGCTTTATTGGTGCTGTTACTTATGCCTTCAAATACGTGGAACAGCAGTATGGTCAGTCCGCATCTGAGACTAACATTTTGTTTGGTAAGACACGTCGTTTATGTTTGCTCGATAAGCAATATTCCCAAGTAATTGATTTCCAATTGACTTTTTGTTGTGAAGGCAATTTCATATCTTAAGAAATGTAATTTCCATTTATTCTTTTGTAAGTCTTATCAAACATGTCAATCTTGTGATATCATCATTGTTCTGCATTTGAAGTTGCATCTCATGTCATTTTTGAGATGAATTCCTGAAGGAAAAGGGGCCTGTAAATGAAATATTTAGACATGGTATCTGCATAATTGGATCTTATAATTTAGTGCTGAGGTCCTGAGACAAATCCTTTTGTAATGTAATTATTATAATTCCATAATTGATGGACTTTGAATCAGGACCCAGCTACTTGCAAAAGATAGGACATTGATGTTTCCCAAGGAAAAATCAATTTTAACTCATCGATGATATCTACATAATTCAAAACAAATATTATATTTTAGAGAGGTTTTTTGCTACATTATTTCCAATGACATATTGAGACTTGCTTATGAGGGAAAGGTTTTCTTATATCATTCTTCCCCTACTGCCAGTACAACATAAGATTCTTAAGAGGAGGATATTTTACTATTATTATTATATTCTTAAGAATGTACATTATCTTATACAGTGCCCAGCACATTGTAGAAACTCAATAAATATTTGATACATTAAACTGAACTTATCAAGTGATATGCAAGTAGGTTGTAAGCAAACCAGAAAATAATTCTGTATGATGCTCTCATTGAACTTCAGATAAAAATTTAAACTGTAAAAGTTAAATTTGACTCCTAATAAGGTTCTTATCCTGAATTTTTTGTTAGAGCGGTCTTCATCTTTAACAACTCTTGCAGGACAATGAAATGAAAAAGTTATAAGAAGGATCAATGATTTTTGACACCATATATAGGCCTGTTTAACATCTCAGAGTATATGTGTGTTTGGAAGAAAAAAGAAGAGATGTTAATTCTAAACTCCTGGGCAAATTTGGAGTGTGTTTTTAAGGATTGGAACTCTTCATTTTGAGGAGATGTAAAGGATTTTAGGTGGTAGAATGAAAGTCTCATAAGTAGGAATAAGTGATGTTTTGTTGTTGTTTTTCGGGAAAAAAAAGCACCTCATAGAAACAGTCTGTTCAGACATACAAATATTCTCAGTAATTGCCTTTTGTTTGCAGTTGGGAAAACCAAACCCTCAGCATTGGCAGGAAGAAATTATTTTTGTCTCTCCCATATGGTACACTAATCCCCTACCTCCATTCTGCCAGCCTTCTACTTAAGAAGTAATAAAATTAGATGAATTTGATTGATACACACTGTTTCGTATGTAAACACATTTCAGAATAATCATATTTATATAATTACAATATTTTCTCTTACTTCTAGGGATGGTAGCCATACTGACTATTGCAATTGGAATGTTCACAGGAGGATATATCATTAAAAAATTCAAATTTACTTTGCTTGGATTTGCCAAATTTTCATTTTTTACCAATTTGGTGGCCTTCACATTTCACCTATTAAATTATGCGCTAGTCTGTGAAAGCAAATCAGTTGCCGGCCTAACCTTGACCTATGATGGGTGTGTATACATCAATTGCATAATGTGTAAACTCTACAATGTAGAAGACTCCGTAAAGAAAACATGGCAGATGATAGCAATTTTAACTAAACTTTCTTTTAGTTGAGAGAAATTTCATCTTACAAATTCTTAAAACATCCATTTCTTAAGATCTCATAAAGTTCTCTTTTTATTCCTTCCTTAAAGAAAAGCAACACAGATTGTAACAATAATAACTATCGTTTATGGGTGCCTACTACGAGTGACGGGTACTTTTATCCTCATTTTATAGATAGAGAAAGCAAGGCTTAAAGAGATACACAGATTCGATGGCTAGCGATGTTAAGATTCTGATTCAAATTTGGGGTTTTTGACTCCAAAACTCTTACTCTCAACCACCAGAATCTTGGATGGATCGTGAGAAGAATATAAACAACACTTTCCAAAAATGACTGATCAATCTTTTTCTATGGTTAATTTTGATATTTTACAACTACCTTTGTAAGAAAACACTTCCTTACATTGTGCTGAATTCTCCTCTTCTGCAAGCTTATAGTATGTCTTTTGGTTTTGTCATAATTAGAAGTAAAATTAATAAGTATCCCATATATAATTATATATTAGACCCTAGAAAACCTTTTCCATTATTATGAAGTATTGTGAAGTATTCCTAGTACTATGGTCTCTACCTTAGATTAAAGGCAAGATTCCTGTGCAGATTTCTTACCATCTCCTGACTATAGCTATCAACTGAAGCTTAGAAACATTCACATTTAAGCAACAAAGAAAGATTCTTAGGTCACAGCTCAGTAATCATGCTCCTTAGTGCTGCTTATCGTTGGCTCTGAGCTGTTAAACTCTGGATCCTATGAGGTGTCAATTTTAACTTGTCAAATCTTCCCATATTTTCTTACCTAAATATCATCCTATTCTTGGAGACTTGCCAACTTAGCCTTGAATTATCTCCTTGCTTCCTCCTAATCTTGACTGTTGTTGATTATTCCTATCCACCATCACCCACTCTGGTAAATCAAAATACAGAGTACCTAGAATATTGAACTTTACAGGTAAAAGAATCTTGGAGATCGTGCAGCCCAACTCTTTTAAATCCTTCCTCTCCATTAATTGAGAGCCAGAGAAACTGACTTCTTTGAAGTCATACAATGACTCTAGACTGATGCTATACCAACCACATTGTTAGTTCCAAGGGCCCCCTGGGTGTCAGGGCAGGCTTTAGCCTAAAGCCAATTCCCTGAAAACAAGTAAAGTAGCTGTACCATCTATTTAAAAGAAGGCAGCTAGAGTTCTATGGGATTTTTTTTTCATTCAGTAAAATTTTACTGAACGCCTCCTTAAGGCGAAGAAGATTTATAGGATACATCAGTGCCCTTGTGGTACTCATAGCCTAATGATAGCAAATAACAGAATTAGTGTATTCAGCATTTGTGAAATGCTAGTCACTGGGGTAAGTTTTTAAAGTATGAATTAGCACAGAGCTTCTCAGTATGTGGTCTGAGGGTCTGTAGGGGTTCCTCAGACCTTCTCAGAGGGTCAACAAATTCTAAACTATTTTTATAATAATACCAAGATGATATTTGCCTTTTTCATTCTCATTTTCTTAAGAGTATATAGTGATATTTTCTAATGCTACAGATATGTGATGACAACATCAGTCTGATGGCTAATGACATGTGTGCTTCTGTATTCTCATGTATTAAAATTTTCTTAGTATTAATTTCTAATAGAGTATATGTCAATAGATTTACCCTACTTGAACAGAAAATCTTTGAAGCCCTCAAGACTTTTTAAAGAGTATGAAGGGCTGCTGAGAACAAAAAGTTTGAGCACTGCCAAATAATTTTTTTCCAGAAAAACTCTTATGAGGTTGATGTTATAATCTATGACTTAAAAATGGCAAAACTGATTTTAGAAAGAGTAGTCACATTGCTGTGAAGTAGCAGAACTATGTGAACATAAGAGTATCTGATTGGAATATCTGGACTTGGTCATTAGTCGTTATGTCCCCCCACCCCCCATCATACGTCCTCAAGCAGAATTAGGTATCAGATGCTTTTTAGTAAAATTATTGATAATAGAATTTCTGAATCTATTTTTTTCTTCCTTAGGTAAATTACTTTCTCATTTAAAGATAATTCCTCAATCTTCAATTATTATAAATATTTTTACCGAAAACAAAAGAATAATTTTAAAAATCTATAAGCAGAAAATTAATCATACAAATAATCTGTTTTGTAATTTTAGCCATGTTATAAGATTATATTTTATAAATATAACCATGTTTACAGTAAATCATTATAAAATACGTTGTAGTTTTATTTAAAAAGTATATGGAGTTTTCCTAGTCTTTATCAACTGATTCTTTTATTCTTGATTTTTAAAAATTGATCCTTAGGGGTTCTGCCTTGATCGTATCAAATACTTTTCTGATGTAGTTAAAATATAGATTTCTAAATTCAACCTAGGCAAATAACATTCACAGATTCATGGGACTTACAGTGAGCTGGGAGGAACCTTAGTCTAAAGTCATTACCTTACTGAAGAGTAACTGAGTCTCACAAACATGAAGTGACTTATTTAATGAGAAATTTCTTGATAGAATCACAAAGACATCTTGTCTAAGTCTTACCTATCCTCTTTGGCTTCTTCTTTTTGAGGGGCGGGGGCAGCGAAGATCAGCCCTGAACCAACATCTGTTGCCAATCCTCCTCTTTTTGCTGAGGAAGACTGGCCCTGGGCTAACATCCGTGCCCATCTTCCTCCATTTTATATGGGACGTTGCCACAGCATGGCTTGACAAGCGGTGCATCGATGTGCGCTGGGATCCCAACCCCGGGTCACCCCAGCGGAGCGTGCGCACTTAACCGCTACACCACCAGGCCGGACCCTGTGGTTTCTTTTCTATGATTTACATTTTCTTGGTCGTAAATCATGTCTGGGTAAACACGGAGGGTGAAAAAGTTAACAAACACCAAAAAATTTTAGCCATGTTGGTGTCATCACTCATCCAATTTCTCTATCCAATTAAAGGACACTCTCCCTTATTTCTCCTCTCTCCTCCTCTTCCCTTCCCTCTTTTCTCTTCTCTTCCCCTCCTCCTCTTCCTCCTCCTTCTTCTTTCTCTGTCTCTCTTTCTGATGTATATCTATCATGTATTTTCAGAATTAGTCCAGTGGCATCTCATATAAATGTACCACTCTCTTATTGCAACTCAGACTGCAATTGTGATCAAAATCAGTGGGAACCAGTCTGTGGGGACAATGGAATCACTTACATCTCACCTTGTCTAGCAGGATGCAAATCTTCAAGTGGCAATAAAAAGCCAATAGTGAGTATTAGTTTTTACTTCCTCTCCTCTCCTTAATCAAAATTGCAGATTTGATTTAACAATTACTTATCAAATCTTTCTGTAAATAACTAAGGTCTCCAGTAAAATGATAAGAGAAAAGGACTCCTAATATTGTCTGTCGTTGTGACAGCTGTCATTTTGTATAAACAGAGCCTCATACAAAATCATGCTTGGGACACAAACAGGTTTTCCTGCTGCTTGAGTTCTCATTTGAGATTATTCTCACGTTTTCCCCTTTAGTTTATAAGAATATGACCTTTTGGAGTTTAACTGTGTTTAGGATCTCTAGGGAGCACCTCATTTGACTAAAGGATATAATTTCCGTTAAGTTGGAGGTACCTTACCTTTCATAAGTTAGGGAAAATTCCTGACTTGGCTCCTTGTCAGCACTACCTGCCTTCCAGGACAGCAATCAATATGCAATTTTGCATATAGATTCTGACGAGTTTATCTCTAGACTCATTACCTCTTGACTTGCCAAGAAATTAATCAAGGCTTCATGCTCACTTGACTGACCAATTCTTGCCTTCCAGTTTTGATTTCCCCAAGGCTGGCACTTCTCCCACCCAGATTAACTTCGTATTTCTGCTTACCTATTGCTAACATCCCCCATAGAAATGCCAACTGCTTCTTTACTCAAAATATTCCCTTTCATGCAAACTATGGGTTCTCCCAGTATGGTGTTCTCTATTCTACCTCCAATCCACTGAATATCTCACAAAGTTGGGGAGCCATTTCCTGGACCCTTTTCCTATCACTAACTTTGGCAATATAATCAGCTATGATCATTGGTCTCTACCATATACCTCTGTCTTTGATTTTCCAGCTTTTTCCATCTTTCTCTTCTCCATAGTCCTACTAACTGTATTATTGAAGGGCACTGACAACTTTGAAGAATAAAGCACCTAGATTCTACGACGCTGGGCCATAAATTTGTACAAATATGGCCCAAGGACTATACTTAAAAACCCACATGTCATATTCATGACGATAGTGCCTTTCACTGAGAGTGCCCCACTTAATCCATGGTCCCACTTTGCCCATCAGCGAAGGCCTGGAAGACACATGATGTTAGAATCCTAAAGAGAGCTCTGTCTGCTGTGGAGACATCATCTTCTTAATACTGGCAATGACTATACCATTTGGGGGCTACTGGGGACTTCTTTTATCAAATACTCAGTAATAAATCATCCCTTTTTAATCACTGAAAATAATGTTCTTTGTACCGATGTTTGGTTTTATTGGCCAGTAGGATTGCTACATAAAGGATTCCTCCAAATTATTCCTAGTGAAAAGTAAAGCTTGGTCATCAGATAAGTATGGATTCAAATTGTTCCTCAATTCTCTTTCAATAATCATTCTTTAGCACGAACAAGTTCGAAATTCCCTTAAACCTTAGTTTAGACTAGATTCAGAACAAAATTTGTTAGAGTCACCTATTTACTACATAGAATGTCTGCCAAATTAAATCTCTAAAATCATTTGTTCCTAAGTTTTCCCTTTCCATGCTCTAACTATTAGGGTATTCTGTTGTGTTGAACGTCTCTGGTAACAACATCATCTACCATGTAATCTGTCATTATGCTCTGGGATGTTGTGTTTGCTGGCCAAAGTAGAATTACAGCACCCCTGCCTGGCTCCTTTTCCCTGGGACTCTGCCCCCTCTGATCGGTAGCTCTAGTCCCAGGTTTTGGCCCCTCCCAAACTACTATATTTTCTGGATTCCCTGGGTAATCCCTCCCCAAGGAAAGTTCCTGACACTTACTGTTAAAGAGCATAAGTAAGCGTGCTATGGAACGTAAACGTGAGTGGGAGAGAAATAGCAAAAGGAATTTATATTAATGTAAAAATTATATACAGAGTTTCAGACACTAATTTCTTCTATTCTTTTCTATGTTTTAAATGAGGAAGGAATTAAATGTTAACAATGAATTGCATTTTCTTGTCTAGAAAAGAACACAGAAAATTATTTTGCCTTTCAACTATTAAGCAACTGTATTTTTAGACGGTTTTCTTTAAAAACTGTAAATATTTTAGCTTGAATAAATGAGACTTCCTTAAATATAATGGAATGTACTTATAGCCCATTTGGATTTTGTAAATATATTCTGTAATATTTCAAAAATTATTTTTTAGGTGTTTTATAACTGTAGTTGTGTGGAAGTGACTGGTTTCCAGAACACAAATAACTCAGCTTATTTGGGTGAATGCCCAAGAGATGATCGATGTAAAAGAAAATTTTATTTTTATATGGCAGTGCTAGTCTTGCATAATTTTTTTGCTGCATTGGGAGGCACCTCAACTTTCATGCTGATTTTTAAGTGAGTATGATTTATTAAGAGTATGATTTATTAAAATAGTTTAATGTATTAGACTATAAACACACTTAATAAATGTACATATATTTTTCATAACATATTTGAAACCCAAATTCATATTTTGTTACATTTTAATTTACTAAGAACGCATTTTCTTAGGATTATTGTGATACCTCAATGCCGTAATTAATAATAATTTTGTCTGATTCTTCCATCACAAAATCTAGATTCCATACTTTCTCATCTTACAAAGAATTTTAAGGGACAGACTGACTGACAATTGCCACAATCGTGAAAGAATGCCCATGTGATTCTAAAAGAATTTCTAATTTTGAGATGCCTTACATCCTGATGGGCCTGTGAGAGTAAATCACTTATAGATTTCATTGAAAGGAAACATTTGGGAAGCAGACTGTATAATATACTTCAGTCTATGATATTCCAAAGCATTTAATCCACCCTCAGGATGGCTTTTGACCTAGTTTCTCATAACAACCTCATACACAAAAGAAAAATATATGAACAGAATTCATCCCTTTCTTCACTCATTAGACAAATATTTAGACTCTGCTTGATAAAGAATATTCCATGGTGAATAACACAAAGTACCTGTTCTCACACAGCTTAGAGTATGACGGGAAACACATGAGACATATAAGCTTAAAAATAAACACGTATTTACAAATTGTGGTTAGTACTAATAAGGAAGAAGAGTGCTACTGAAGGGAAGACAAAGGGAAACCTAGTTTAGAGTTGAGGAAAAGGAGATCTGAGGAGGAGGACACAGAAAGTACTTCTCAAAAAAAGTGACATTTAATCTAAAGATCTAGAGAATAAGTTAAAGTTAACCAAATGAAGAACTTTACAGGAAGAGACTCTAGGTGCCAATTCTTTCCAGGCAGGAAAGAGCTAGTGTGTTTGAGGAATAAAAAGAAGCAGTTAGTGGAAACATACGGAGAGAGAGATATGGACAAGATAAAATTGGAGAGCTGGGAAGGGAGCAAATAATATACGCCCTATCGGCAAAGTTAATAACTCAATAACCTAAAAATGAAAACATATAAAGACTTGCATGTAGGTCTTCTTAAAAAATACATATGTATAACCATGGTGACCTGGGTTAATATATAATTGTATTTTTAAGACCTGGGTAGTTGACCACAGATTCACCATCAGCCAAGAGCATGACATGGAAGGGAACGAAAACAAATGTATTAACTTTTGCTAAAATGAGTACAGACTCATAAACTGAGTTTACAGTTGTTTAAATTCTACTCTGACTCCAAATCTTGTCAAATTATTTATAGTAATTTATTTCACAGACGTAGCTCCACCTTCGTATAAAATGTTGTCTACTCAAAAGGAGAAGTCTCCCATATTTGCCAGATTACAGATTCATTAACTTACAGGACATTATCTCAAAACTCCATATTAGCTTGCATCTCAACAAGTTTTAGCTTCTTAATTTAAAATCTTTCATAAAGAAAAAAAGGGTTTTAGAGATCACCATTCCACATTGATGATAGATTTATCTTGTTAAGAAAGTGGTTAAGATCAACATTACCATTTATCAAAAACATTTATTGATCTCTCATCAGCCTTCAATTTTATTGAAAGAAAACTTATGTGAAGCAGACTGTAGAATAAAAATATAAACTTCAGTCTGCTAATAATATTCCGACGCTTATGTCATAAGGCTACTGTTAAAACTAGACTAAGCAGGAGTGATGATATTTACTCATTCAGTAAAGATTCATATGTGTTGGGCCCAGTTTTAGGTTCTGAGGACAGAACTGTGAACAAAAGTGATAAAGGTCCTGCTTTCATTAGTTCCAGTGTGCGTGAGGGTAGCAGGAGTGGATGGGTGTAGGAGAAGAAACAATAAATAAATAAGCAAGTAAATATGTAAAATAGAAAAAATGTTAAGGGTTAAGAAGAAAAATAAATCAGAAGAAGAACATAGAAAAGGAAATAAAATATCAATGTTTGGAAATCAGGGCAAAGGGAATTATGAGGAATTCTTTGTACTATTTTTTCAACTTTTCTGCAAGTCTGAAATAATTTCAAAACATTTTTTAAAGAGATGAGAGTTTCTGGCTTTTCCCTCCAAAGTATTTGAGACTCAACCAACTCTGTGAATCTTTAAAAATTTGGACTCGGTAGAGCCCTCCATTACTAAACTTTGGTGAGGAAGCATGCACACTTCATCTTCATGAACTACGATTTTGATCACCCTCCATCTCTGTAACTGGTAATGGCAGGATCTATCTTAGGACCCCCATCCCACTACCACGACAGCTTGGCTTGATGTGCTCCCAGAGAGTGAAAGGTAAGACCATAGATGAGAATAACCAGATGAAAAAAAAAAAAAAAAAGAAGGAAAGAAAAGGGGCAGGGACAGATAAGCAGTACTAATTCAGATATTGTGCATTGGAAGTTATTTGATCAGAGACTTGAATAAAGATTGAGGGTAGAAGCCATGCTGATACAGCAACAAGTGAAGAGCAATCCAGGCCAAGTAACAGCAAAAGTAAAGGCCCTGAAGTGGAGCATGCCTGACATGTACAAGATCAGAAGGAGTGTGTGCAGAAGAGAGAGGTAAAACATGCAATGAGAGAGCTAGATGGTCCGGATAACATAGACCCTGTGGGTCACGGTAAAGACTTTGGAGTTTATTCTAATAGTATTGAGAAGCCAGCGGAGAGATTTTGACCATTAGAATTATACAACTGACTTATTCATTTAGAAGATCCCTCTCACTGTTGTGTGGTGGACATGTATTTGGGGAGGAAAGAATGGAATCAGGGAAAAACAGAAGGCTATGATAGTTCTTCACAGGATGGGAACTTGATTGAGGATGCTGATGGTAAAGAAAGTGGGAAATGATCTGAGTCTCAGTCTTTGTTTGTTTTGAAGGCAAAGTCGATAGGATTTACTGATGGATTAAGAGTTATGTAAGAAAGAAAATTTAAGGATGATCCCAAGGTTCTGGCCTGAGCTCGTGGAGGATTGTGGTGCTATTGAACAGACTGGGGAAGACTAGGGAAGAGTAGGTTGGAGAAAGTGGAGACACAAGAATTTGTTCTATTACTGTAAGTCTGAATGTCTATTAGATATCCAGTGACAATGTCACATATACAACCTGTCATTCAGGAGAAGTATTGGAAACAGAGACATAAATTTCAGAATCAGCAATATACAAAGGGTATTTAAATGCATGGCACTGTTGAGATCTTCTAGGGACTGAGTACAGATAGAAACAAGATCCTAAGACCAAGATTCAGGCACTCTAACTTCAGAGACCAAGAATAGAGGAGAATCCAGTGAAGGAAATTGAGAAGGAGATCCCATGAAATTGGAGAAGAACCAAGGGAGGGCGGTGTCCCAAAAGCCAAATGAAGAATGTATAAAGAAGGAAGGAATGAGCAACTCTGTCAATGGCTGCTGAGAGGTCATGGAAGTTAAGGTCTAGGAAGTAGCCATTGGATTTTATTACAGACTGGTCACCGTCAGCCTTAACAAAAATAGTGCATAAAGGTAGGAAGAAGAAAGACTACTTTGCAAAGGATCATAAAAAAAAATGCAAGGAAGGGAAGTGCAGATAGCCAATACGAAAAATTCTTTTTAGGAATAGCGTTACAAAAAGAAGTGGATGCGAGAGGGGGGTCAACCAGCGGGTAGTGGTTAAGTTTGCACGCTCTGCTTTGGCAGTCCGGGGTTGGCAGGTTTGGATCTCAGGCGCAGACATACGCACAGCTTATCAAGCCATGCTGTGGCAGGCTTCCCACATAGAAAGTAGAGGAAGATGGGCGTGGATCTTAGCCCAGAGTCAATCTTCCTCAGCAAAAAGAGGAGGGTTGGCAACAGATGTTAGCTCAGGACCGAAAAAAAAAAGAAAAAAAAAACACAGAGGGGTGTGGCATCGAGTTCTGTTTATGCTTAATGCTAGATTACAGCGTGCTTACATGCTGATGACAATTATCTGGTAGAGATGAAGGAAGCTGATAATGCAGGAAGGAGGGGGAACAATTACATGGGGAGATGAAAAGGGATGTGAACAAGTACACAGAGTTTTACTCTGAAATAGAAGGGAAGGTTGTCTATGTGGGAAAAGGCAGGTACGTGTGCAGCTTTAGTGATGCAAGGGTATTGAAATTCTTTCCTGACTGCTTTTACTTTCTCTGTTAAATAAAAAGCAAGGTAATCAGCTGAGAGTGCGGAGGAAAAAGGAAGAGGCTTGAGATGAGATCAGGAAATGGGAACTGGTAATCTTGAAGATTGGGAGAATAAACTGACTGGGAAAACAGACTGGTAAAATACCATAGGATTGCACTGGAGGGCCCCTGTGAGTTTGTGCTTTTGAATTGAAAATGAGCCCAGTCAGCATGTTCCAATGACTTCCTCCAGCCAGTGCAGTTCTTTGGGTATAGGTGCAGAAAAGGCAGAGGTACAATAAAAACATTTTTGTTTGTCTGGGACAGCCCAGGATGAGAAGGACGAGAAAGTGCAGGCTATATGAAAGGAGTGATTAGAATGAGAGACCATGATGAGAAAGGATGCAAGGACATGACAATGGAGATGGCCTGTGAAAAGGTGGGGGCGTCAAGGGCCTGAAGACCCCTGTGGGGCTGAGGCTTGTTGGTTTATTAGTGGGAGTGAATTTAAAAGTTAAGAGGTGAAAATAAAGGGGGGTGCTCTAAACTGACAGCTAGAGAAGTGTGTACTGGTAGGCATGACCGTGGGAAGGGGGAGACAAGACCGATGGCGTGAAGAAGGCAAGAAACTGGGAGGTCAGAGCATTGGGAGGATAGTCTACATGGATATTAAAATAACTAGTAAAAGTGGTAAAAATAGTTTTGGAAAAAATGATGGAGAGCCTAGTACTAAAATCATCAGGGAATGACGGGGGTAGTGATGTGCAAGTGTATAGGTACTGCAGCAAGGAGGGTAGGGAATGGTATATTAGGATGGTGCACCTGTTGAGAGAAGTCAGAGGTCTTTCA